AGGGGAAAGGAAGGTGGGAGGGGGCGGGGATGTCGTGGAATCAAAAGGACATCAGTGGGATAAAGGCACGGGGGTGGGGCAGATACCAGAGAGTGACACTGGCCAAGTTACACTGTCATACTGTGAGTATGAACCAACCGGAAACACCACGTCCCACCATTAGGTGCACCAATAACATAAGGAAAATGAAAAAAATCAAACGGGAATCCTGCCAGGTCAGCGCTCAGATGGCAGCTCAGATGGCAGCTCAGACGCGCTCTGGCTTCTGCTCCTCGGGCCCCTGAGACTGCTTCTCCCCTCCTACACCCCACATCAAGGCCGTGCGCACGCCGAGCTCTGCATGTGTACACAACAGGATTCCTGGGAGGAGGGATTGCAGATGGCACAGCCCACGGGCACGGCGGGGCTGGCAGCCCAGCCTCCGCAGGAGTAAAATGACTCCCGTCGCGGTGGAGGAGCCTGGGGGGAGAAGCTGTCCCTCGCCTCTCAGCTGCTGCCCACACGGCCCTGCCCACCCTGAGACTGGTTGATAATGTGAAATGAGGCAGAGCAGGGCATCCTTGATAAAGACGAGTAGAGGCATCTGCAGTGAGGAGAAAAGGAGGAATTGGAAAAGGAATATCACGATTTCTGGGTCTTACAGTTAGTAAATGTCCTATAAACAGCGATTAAAAGTAGCTGTTATCATCAGAAGTTTCCCTAAGATAGCTCTGAACCCCAACGTTTCTTTCCATCAATAGCGTTCTTCAGCAAAGCCCAGGCACCCAGACTGACCTGGAAATCTCTCTAACACGGCCACACATCCACCCCAGTCAGACAAACTACTCCTATGTAATCTGTAATGACATAATTGAAACCAGGTTTACATTTATTTAAGTAGCCTCGCTGTGATGGAATGAAAATATTTTAGTTAGCGGCACAACACGTCTGAGCAGAATTTACAGCGGTCTCCCCTGCCCCGTGGATTCCTCACTTGCCTATAAGAACTCCATTTTGAAAACGAACGAGAGAGGGAGAGAGAGAGAGAGAGGGCTGGTGTTGAGTTTCAGTTCTGCACAATGACACCTTTAACAACCTGCCAGCCAGTCAAAACCTAAATAGAGCATCTGAAAAAGTCTTTACTACTGCCAGTTAATACTCAGAGGCTCTGGGGACAGGAACGTCCAGTGACTCAATATTTGTAAATGCTACTGTTGTCCCTCCAACACATGTCGGACGCTCCTGGGAGAGGCGGGGGCTTTGGCCATGAGGAGGGCGAGGGTCTGAGGTTTAAATAGGAAAGTAGTCACTAAGAAAACAAAATAAAACATAAAAATGAGCACCCGGTGGCCTGGCCCAACTGCCCGCTCTGAACACCCTGGATCATACACAACCCCAGGAGGACCCACAACACCAGGAAGACCCACAACACCAGGAAGATCCACAACACCCGGAGGACCCACAACACCAGGAGGCCCCACAACATCAGGAAGACCCACAACACCCGGAGGACCCACAACACCAGGAGGACCCACAACATCAGGAAGACCCACAACACCAGGAGGACCCACAACACCAGGAGGACCCACAACACCAGGAGGACCCACAACACCAGGAGGACCCACAACACCAGGAGGACCCACAACACCAGGAAGACCCACAACACCAGGAGGACCCACAACACCAGGTGGACCCACAACACCCGGAGGACCCACAACACCAGGAGGACCCACAACATCAGGAAGACCCACAACACCAGGAGGACCCACAACACTAGGAGGACCCACAACATCAGGAAGACCCACAACACCAGGAGGTCCCACAACACCAGGAGGACCCACAACACCTGGAGGACCCACAACACCAGGAGGACCCACAACATCAGGAAGACCCACAACACCAGGAGGACCCACAACACCAGGTGGACTCACAACACCAGGTGGGCCCACAACACCAGGTGGACTCACAACACCAGGAGGACCCACAACACCCGGAGGACCCACAACACCAGGACCAGGGCAGCTGCGCTCTTCTTCATTTAGATTTGTTCCTTTGTGTCTGCAGACACCAGCAAAGCTGAACAGCAACCCGGGGCACCAGAAGAACAGTGTGTGTGACATCAGTGTGTGTTCACAACCAGGAGGGTCGGATGTCACTGCAGCTGCTGGAGAGACGACGCACGCAGAGCGCCTTAGAGGGAAGTCAGCGGGTGGAAGGCCGCGGTTTCCACTGCCCGCCTGGCGGTGAGCAGGAGTTGACACAACTTGGTCATTACAGACGCTCCGGGCTGAAAACCCAGTCTGTGTGAATCTTGGCCACCACACGGGTTGGCAAAGCTCTGGAGCTGGTTTGTCCTTCTCTCTTATCCTTTTTCAAGAATGTGTTAATGTTAATGCTGCACATGAAACGGAACACACAGCGCACCGCGGCGGGCCAGCACGAGCACCCACGCTGCTGGTTCAGAGGAACCCGTGATGGCCATGAACTCACCTTCACGGGCTCCGGCTCCCTTTGAGCCCAGCCTGACCTCGCCTGCCTATTGATCATCATCAGAAACACTGGCACTTGGAATGGGAACTTGGGCACTGATGGAAACGGGCTTGGGCGGGAATTTAACTTTGTAGGAACAGAGCTTGCCGTCACAACGCCCATTCCGCTGGCTTTGGTGAGCCAGGAGCGTTTTCACTGGGGATAAGAAGAGAAAGAAAGGGAGGCGACGTTAGGTTGTGACATGTGAGGTACACTGCAGGAAGAACGAGAGCGGCACTGCCGGAGCCACGGGCATTATGGCGCACTGAGAAGACACGGCACTCAGGAAGGGTGTGCAGGAGCACCTGAGGCCCCACGCTCGGGCTGGCAGGGGTCTGGGCACAGGCCTGCCAGAGGCCAGCCCTTCCTACCCTGCCCCACCTGAGACTCTGACACCTGAGGTCCCATCTGAGCATCTATGTGTTCTGATCCTTGTTCAGAAGGAGGACAAAACAGAAGAGATGGCTGTATGTCTGCGTGAGCCTGTCTCTACCTTAGGGAAGAGAACACAGAGAGTACTGCTACAAACCAGAGAAGGGGGCTTGTTCTAACACTCCATTCTGCAATTTTACTTTGTTCTTTGCAGAATTGTGGTAAACCCTTACTGTAGACAAAAATGTCTAGACTCCCTGAGGCAGTAGAGATGGTGAGTTACACTTGCTAGGCTGGACACTCTCCAGTGATCCTTCCACATCACTCAGCAATCTGAACTTATGCAGAAAGGAGAGAGAGATATTAATCAACTCAGTTTTTAAACTCTTATAAGTTGATAAGCAAAGTATTCTGTGCTAAAATACCTCTGGTGATGAAGAACTCATTATTCTTGAAAAACTCTTTTGTTTGGATAACACTGTGGTTATAAAGTATGCCCTTAGTGTCCCAGAGTAGCTCACTGTGAAATGTGCTAATGATATTTGATTACGAAGCACTATAAAATATTGTTGCTAAATTTCTATGTTAAGAGTGAAGCTAGCAAATATAATCAATGCTTTTTATCACTATAATCTAGCTCAAATGCCATGACTTAAACTCTGTTTTATCAAGACCTCAGTGATAGAATGATATTTGGCTTTTATCCAACATTAAACCACATGTTAACAAGTGAATATTACTCAATCATAAAAAAGGAAGTGTGTACTGATACATGCTATTTCATGGATGAGCCTTGAAAAGGTTATGCTAAAGAAAAGAAGCCAGACACAAAGGCCATAGATTGTATTCATTTAGACAGAATGTCCAGCCTAGGTAATAAAGACAGAGAGGAGATGAGCGGTAGCCTGGGGTGGCTGGGAAGGAAATGGAGAGAGACTACTCCTGGATCTGGGTTTTGAGTGTGTGAATACTACATCCAAACCTAGCGCTGTGGGCAGTTGTCGTCTTGAATAGACCAAACCCCACTGAATTCTATCTTTAAACGGGTGAATTTTACGGCATGCGAATTACACGGCAATTTTAAGAACAAGGGCCAGACCTGCAGTTATAGGACTGAAATAAAAAGTCACCGTGGGAGGCGCTGCCACCCGAGGGACTCCGGACTCAGCACAACAGCCAAAATGCACACCACCGCAGCTCTGCGTCCGCCTAACACCCACGCGGCGAGGAATGAACACAGGTCCTAGTAGAGGGTCCCGGGCTGTGTTTACCTTAATGCTCCCCGACCCGTGAGAAGTTTCCACCTTTTTATTTTACAGGGAGGGTGTGTCGACTGCATCTCAGCTGTACTTGTACTTATGAAAGTTCAGGGAATTTCAAAGCCACAAACGGGTCCTTCAGGGAGAAGCTGGCACGGTGAGCTGCTATTGCGGTCTACTTCCAGCTCCCTGCGGCTCCCTGCGGCTCCTGGGGGCCTAACTGGAAACCCATGACTCTGCTCAGGCACCTGGGAGGCTCCTGTTCCTCTCCGGTGACAGTCCCCCGTCCTGTAAGAACCAAAGCCTGGTTTGGGGAAAACACTCTCAGAACAAAGCACAAACACGCTGACTTTTTTCAGATGACAAGTTCAAAATGTTACAGGTGTAGAACATCTTACTTCCCTGTGAATGCCCCTGAGAACGCCGGTATCAGGCCACATTTCCCCCCCAAAAGAGAAAAGAGGCCTTAGGTGATGGTTCCGAACACGATGGATGTCACCGTCACATAACCTACGTGCTGTATTCAACCTCGAGTTCTTGTTTGGTGGCCAGGGATTGTGCCTATCTCTTCCTACTGTCGACTCCAAGGACTGCGCGTGAATCTTGATTTTTTAGGTTATGCTCCATGATGAGGCCTCACACCCCGGGAGGAACCCAGAGACTCATTAACTCCGCCTCCTCGGGATCCCACCCTCTACTGCAGGGCTTCTTAGACGTGCTCACACTGCACTGGGCTGCAAAGTGACCAAAGCGCACTCAGAACCTCACAATAAAACTACTGTGCCGACGTCCCCGTGGGCAGTGACGCACAGGGTCACCAACCACCCACACCGCAGAGGGAAGGGGCCCTGGGACACTCACAGTTGTATCCAGGCGTGATGTGGTGCTGGGCTTCCAAGCTGGCCAGGGTGATGTGGAAGATGATGTGCAGCAGCAGGAAGGACAGGCTCAGGAAGCACAGCGACTTCAGCAGCCGCCCCGTGTGTCCTGGGGGTGAAAGCAGAGGCTGTGAGGGACTGAGACCAACACCGCTCTGCTTCTCCAAGGGGTCCAGAGAACGTGTCCCAGTACCACCCGGGGGGAGGCTGGCCCACCAGTGCAGGCGTGCAATGATCCCGACCTTAATTATTAGTCAATAGCCAAAATCCACCCTGCATAACATCACACAGTCAACCTCATGTGCATTAAAAACTCAATGTAATAGAAAAATGTCTTCTTACGCATTCTATGACATGTTATATGGCATTTTTTTTTTTTAGAGAGAGAGAGAGAATTTTAACATTTATTTTTTAGTTTTCGGCGGGCACAACATCTTTGTTTGTATGTGGCGCTGAGGATCGAACCCAGGCCGCACGCATGCCAGGCGAGCGCGCTACGGCTTGAGCCACATCCCCAGCCCCAATATATGGCATTTTTATAGTGGAACCGCAAAAAGGTTCTGGCCCAGAAAATTGTACAAAAAAATTGCTGTCAGACTTGAAGGAGAAGGTAATCTGTATTTTATAAAAGTAGTTGTAGAGAATAGAAAAAGAAAGAAGATAGTCTGAAACATTTTTGTAGTTAGGGCAAGTTTAATTTCAATAAAATAAGGCTGGAAGAGAAAACTATGAATCAGTTTTACTTGTGAACATAGACCTAAACTATTAAAAAGATTTATTAAGTAGCTGAAATAGCACAGTAAAAAAAAAAGAATACATCATAATCAACTAGACTTTATTGCCGAAAACCCAGGGTGGTTTGACATTAATGGATCTGTAAGGGGATTCACATAGCAGTGGGCTGATGTCACAACTTTCTTCATGGACACAAAAGAAACACTTCTGAAAATTCAAAATGAATTCATGGTTAAAAAGTTGAGAATAGGAACAGAAAGAAGCTTTCTTAAAGGACTGAGCCCATGGCTAAAGCAAGCATGCTCTTTCTGATACAAGTTTAGGCGGGGTCTCGCTAATGTCAGAGATAAGGACATTCAACAATGTCACCACCAATTATCGTACTGCTGGGTGTTCCAATAATACCGTAAAATTAAGACAAAGACTGAAGAATCTTATTAGCCAGAAACATTTACAGATAATATGATCAAGTAAAATAATTTTCAGAGGATATCATTATCAATATAGAGCATTGAACTGAATCCACAGACCAACTCTTAGAACAAATGTAAGAATTCAGGAAATGACTGAGATACAAGACCATCTTGCAAAAACCAGCATCCCTCCCCACAGTGCAGTAACCAGATAGACACCGAGGCACAACTTGGTTGGCAATCAGAACTCTGCCACGGTTTGGTCAGGTGTCAGGCTGGGCCGCTGCGCACAGTTATCCAATCAAACACTCGTCAGGGAGCTGCTTGGAGTTTTCTGGAGTCACCACAGTCCATGGCCCACTGACTTTAACAAAGGGAGACGACGGTCTGCCACCTTCCGGGCAGGCCTGGCTCAATCTGCTGGAAGGTCTGAAACCAGGGAGGGGAGTGAGGGAAGGCAACCGAGGGCAGGAGAGGAGCTCAGCTCGCCCCCTGGAGATTGGTCTGTCTGGGATCTTCCCTTCCTGACGGCCTGCCCTGTCTGCTGTGGACCTTCTTGGCCAGTCCACAGTCAGTCCTGCAAACCCCGACATAAAAGTCCTCAACCAAAAAGCTATGCAAAGAAGCATTCAAGTCACATCTGCATGTATTTCCTATTGTACTGCAACTCTCTCTGAAACTTGATTAATAAAAATACACACAGTTTAAAGACTTTTATGGATAAAAGAGAATCAATGAAGAAATATGTTAATTATGAATGGGATGATTTATGGCAAAGATGTCAATTTTCCCCAACTTTGGTCTACAAATTCAATACAATTTCAAACAGCATGCAATAAGAAACTTCTATGTCTTCACCGAATACATTTCAAAATACCTAGAAGGGATGTTCTGAGGATAGCAACAAACATTTAAAAATACATTTAGGATTAAAGCTCTACGAGTCGCTATGCTAATTTTGAAATATTAAGAAATAAGGTCAAAAGTGGGCAAAGCTGGTGCATGCAAACAGACATTAAGGTATGTTATAAACCTATGAATTGAAACAAAATAAAGGAATAAAACAGAAAAATAGTCAAGTGCAATATCATACATGGCTAAAGTAAAACCCAACTTATTTAAATTAACTTGGCAAATGTCAAAGTTGACCCTACAAATTAAGAGAAAAAGGATAGGAATGACATCAGTGATGTGACGGGGTCAGAGGCCCCAGCTCTCACCTCCCCACAGAAGCACCAATTTTGGCAACCACCATGGATGAGAGTACTTTTGTGGGAGCCCCAGAGACTAGTTGAGTTACACCATCTCAATGGGAAAAAAAAGTCCCAGAGTGAGCGCCCTGAAGAAGGCAAACTGAAAGGAGCGGTTTCCTTTATCCACAGAATCTCTCCCCAGAGTGGCTCAGCGTGGCGCTGGGGGGCCTGATTGCACTGCAGTTTCTACTCCTGGGCCAAGTGAGAATGATGACATGAGCACCCAATTTCCCAGTCTTGCATATGCTGCCCAGGAGGCCCACTGTCTTATCCCACCCAGAACACAGAAGGAAGGGAGAAGCATGGATGGGTTGCCAGGAGACAGTAAAGAGCAGGAAGAAGAGTGTGCGTGATTCTCAAGAGCATCACAACCCTGGAGCCCGCTGACAGATTCCACCAAGAGACCCATCACTGACCCTTGCAGGATGAGTCACCCAAAGACCTCCACAGCCCACTGCTGCAACCACACCTTGGATCCCTCCTCCTGCGGACAACGTCTCACACATCCTTGTGCATGGGCTTGCTGAGCTCTTGCAGAGAGTATAGAGACTGCAGCAGTAAACACAGACCCTAGTAACTGGCTGGGCTTTACAGGTTAGCACTTTGTTAGGGACCTACCCTAGAAAAAATAAGCGGTTGTCTCTCAGCACCAAGCATGGCTTTACTGATATGGGAGGCACAGGAACCCAAGAAAAGAAGTGACAAGAGGGGAGCAGCAGGTCTACCCACAGAAAAAAATTGAGAGAACCCTCTACCCTCACGGAATCTCAAATCAGGCTTACTGGTGAAGCGTTTTCTCTTCTGAAGAGAAAAGACTGGAGAAGGGCAAGTGCCAAAAAGGCTGAAAGGAGCACAAAGAATCAAGTAAACATGACACCACCAAAAGAAAAAACCGAAGCCCATCTACGTGAGAAAGCCCATATACAGGCTGAGCCCATATACATGAAAAGCCACAAATCTCCTGGCAAAGATTCAAAATAATCACCTTGCAATTCAGTGAGCTATAAGAAAATACAATCAGCTTAGATGAAATCAGGAAAGCTGTACATGAGACGTTCAGTAAAAAAAGGTAGGACCAGAAAAAAGGAATCGAGCAGAAGAGTATAAAGCCTGAAGTGAAAAATTCAATAGAAAGCGTCAACAGCAGACTGGGCCAACCAGAAGAGTCAGAGAGCTTGCAGATGGATTATTTGATATTATCCAGTAGAGGAAGGAACAAAACTTAAAAACAATGAAAAGGAGGTGAAAATAGGTTGTGGCAGTCATGGGACACCAGCAAGTGACCATTAGACACATTATAATGTCCAGAAAGGAACAGAATGAGAAAGGGGCAGAAGGTTAACCCCAAGGAACAATGGCAGAAAAGCCACCTCATCTGAAGAGTCCGATAGACATCAGGGCCCAAGAGGCCTAAAGAACTCCAACGAGTAAGGAGGTCTTCACAGAGACACACTATAATCAAAGTTTCAAAGGCCAAAAACAAAAACAAAAATTTAAATGAGCAAAAGAAAAAAAAAGTCATCACCTACCAGAGCCTCTCCAGATGACTGTGAGTGCTTCTCAGCAGGCCTGAGAGAGTGGGAGATGTATTCAAAATGCTATGAAAAGACTTTCAGCCCAACCAGGCCACCCATGGACGCTGTCCTTCAGAAATGACAGGCAGGTGCTGGAGGGCCTCGGCACCACCGGACCAGCCTTATGAGAAATGCTGAAGGGAGGACATGAAATGAAAAGACACCGAAGAGCCACGTGAAGGGCTCTGAAGACATGAAGCTCACCGATTAAGGCAAGAATATGGTCAAAGTCAGAATATTCTTAAGGCTGCAATGGTGCCATGTTGATTACGTGGAACTCCAATGTAAAAGTTGAAATATGAAATCATTAAAAACTATCATCACAATAATTTATTTGTAGTTATGAATTTTAAAAATGTGAATTGTGACATCAATAACATGAAATATGAGAGAATCAAAGTGTAGTTTTTACGTGTGACTGAAATAAAGTCGCTATCAAATTACGTAGATTATTATAACTAGAAGCTGTTTCATGTAAGTTTCATGGTAATCATTAAACCCAACCTTACAAGATGCACAAAAGGTAAAATGAATCAAAGCCCACCACTATAAAAAAAATCACATCACGAAGGGAGAGAATAAGAGAAGAAGAAAGAGCAAAGAGACTAGAGAGAGAGGAGAATGAACAAAATGCCAATTGTTGGTCCTGACCTATCAATATTTTTTTAATGTAAATGAATTAAATTATCCTGTTAAAAGATTGAGGATGATGAAATAAATTTAATAACAAGATCCAACTGTATGTGTACCAAAAAATTCAGCTTTCAGGACACATACAGGCTGAAAATGAAGTTGAAAAGGGTAACTGAAGGAGAGCAGGGAGGGCTATTCTCTTACCAAAGTGAACTAAGTCAGAAAGCTCTCACAAGAGACAAAGATGGTCATTTTATGAAGCTGAAGCATTCAATTCATAGGAAGAATAGAATAATTTTGCACATACACGCACATGACCTCAGAGCACCCAGGTGTGCCTGTTAGCGGAGATGGATGGAGAGGTAGATGGCAGTATAATCACAGTAGGGTCCTGCACAGTCCAGTTCACCATGGCCACACCTTACAGACAGAAAAGCCAACAGCATGGGTCTGAGCAGCTCGGCGGGCGCTCCACTGACCCCAGGCACACACAGAATGTTC